GGGAATGGCCCAATATAAGCAAACAATGTACGAATGGTTCTCCAAACAAACAGACAAACAAATCACACACAAGCGCAAATGTACACATGATGTAGATCTAGATGTACAACAATTGTCGCATGTGTAGCTGCCCGCTCGCTTCAGTGTGTTGTTTAGATCTAGTAAGCGCACGTGCGAAAACTGAGTAGAGCTCACTCAGCCTGTTCGCCTCACAATCGAGTGTGCTGTTTCCCCCTTTCAATTTCCATTTTACGCCGGGCAGTCAGAGCAAGCGGAGGTCGAGGAGATCAGAGGGACAAGAAAATGTGCCTGCTCCCTGTCACGATGTCAACGTTTCATTCATTCATTCTGTTTTCCAGTAGCAGCAAACAAACAGTAGCAGCAGCAGTAGCAGCAGTAGCAGCAGTAGCAGGTAAGATCGCGTTATTGTAATAGCCTCCCCTGGGGCCGCTTTTTCTTTATGTGGAAATAGCATTTAGAGTTGTGTCCCTTGTCGTAGCGGTGTTGAGATTTACGTTTCGCCTGCGTTGACTCAAAAAGCACTATTTTGTCCCACCGGGCGTGTCGCAGCAGCAGTTGTAAACTCACATCCTGCTTAAGACGTAAAGGACGTCGTGACAAATTACTTGCTATGATTTGGATAGTGATTGAATTGCGTAACATGGAGATGAAACCAAGATCACTACGAGAACGCAGGCGGTGCAGGATTGCAAATGAAGACACGTAGCAAACCATACTTACCTGGCACGGGAGGCACCATGATCACGACGGCGGTCCTCCCAGGGCGAGGCCTCCATTGCACTCCGGTTTGGCTGACCCCTGCGATCACCTCAAATGCGGGTGACTCGAGTGCGTAATTTTTACGTAGGGGGGACTGCGTTCGCGCTATCCCCTGTCATAATAACCATTCAATGAAAGTTCAGGAAAGGAAGTACAGCACACACAAACACACTTGTACAAGCACAACACGCAGAAACAAACACAGCTCACACAGACACACAAACACACAAACACGCAAACACAGCACACAGAAACAATAACAGAACGAGCCCGGTGGCCGTAGGCCAGATTCTAGATCTACTACTACTACTGTTTGTTCGTCGACAGCGTACTTGGGATCATTTCATTTGATCCCTTCTGATCGCCGTTTGATCTCAAGGACGGCGGTCGTTCTTCTAGCAACAGATTTCACACCTATGTGCCATGTCTCGGAGGTCCGCGATCTGAGCTGAGCGCACCCTTTGTTGGGAAATGAAAATTAAGGTAATGTTTCTTGACATTTTTATGCTTATTATCATCATTGTTAATTTTTTTATGCGTTTGTTGACGCACTTTGCAGTACAGTTTCCTTTGTCCCTCCCCCCAACACCTCGCCCGTGTCCATTTAGAGTCATGCCTTGGGTGTAGGTGTTGGTGGCGTGATGAAAGAAACTAGCCTTTCCGTGCCGGCAGCACACGACGCGGCGCACAGAAAATCACACCTCTGTCCGTTACGCAACTGTCCTGATCAGCCCTCCCGCTCCTGCCCTGCGGCGGGGTCATTTAATTTTGATTTTTTTCCCCACCCCTAAGAATAAATACTTTCTGCTTTGAGGATTAGCGGCGTTGCCTTAGGCTCTCTTTCAAAATAAATAGTAATGGATTGAAGAGAAGAAGGCCCTAGATGTAGCCTTGGCCCCAGCCCCAGGAGTAATGGTTTGTTTTGTTTGGGGTTTTTGGTTTTGTTTGTTAGTGGGTTTGTTTGTTTGTTTGTTTAGTTAGTTAGTTAGTTAGTTAGTTAGTTAGTTAGTTAGTTAGAGTTAGTTAGTTAGTTAGTTAGTTAGTCAGTTAGTCAGTTAGTTAGTCAGTTAGTCAGTTAGTCAGTTAGTCAGTTTGTTTGTTTAGGGTTTTTTTTGTGTTGTTTTTATGTTTTGTTTTGTGTGTTTTTTTTTGGTTTGGTTTGGTTTGGTTTGGATTTTTGTTTGTTTGTTTTGGGGGGGGGTTTCTTTTGGAAAAAAATGTTGTTTCAAAAAGATGTATTTTAAAAATAGCACAATAATGGTAGAATCTAGTCATGAAAATAATATTGATAATGAGGAGGATAATAATGATGATAGCAGTTTATTTCAAAAACAGTAAAAGGTGAAAACATAAACAGTGAAAGAAATGGAATACGAAGAAAATCAGAAATAAAACTTGTTTATTGTGTTTCTGTACAACAACCAACTTCTCATCGGTTTATCCAGTCTGTTTGGTTTTTTACCGTAAACATGTTTCAATTTGCCTTTATTAGGTCAGCACCACAAGAAAAACGTAACCGAAACAGAAAGAAAAAAAAATTGAAAAAAAAGAAAGAAAAAAAAATAAGAAGACAAAAATAATAATAAATTTAAAAATTTTTAAAACACCACAACAAGAAAAAAGAGGAAAAAAGGCAAGCAAAAAACACAAACAGAAACAACGACAACAGCAAGCAACCAAAGGATAACCAAAAAATCAACAAGAAACAAACAATCGCCACTGTGAGCCACGAGCACGTTTTGGGATAAAAAAGGATGACCGACTCAGCCGACTGCGACTCGTTTGTGGTCGAAGGGAGGCAAACAAATGCCTGGCGAGGAGCAGCGACGACGAGCGCAATAGCGGCCCTTCACTTTTTTTCCACGAGGGTCGCCCCCCTTCCCGTAGACACGCAATAGGTGTGAGAGGGTGAAAATAGTGGCATTTTCCCTCGAAAACGTGAACCACAAAGGGTACGCAGTGAACACCGGCCCTAGGTGCAATGACGCAACCCAGCAAAACGGCTGGTCCAGACTGGGATCGAATTATCCAACGGCCGTGTTACGTGGAGCATGCTAATAGTGCGGGGCTGGTGAGAAAAGCAGTTGCAGCGCGCTGGTGAGGAAACTTCGCCCATTTCTCGGCATCGCTTCTCGGCCTTTTGGCTAAGATCAAAGTGTAGTATCTGTTCTTATCAGCTTAATATCTGATACGTGGCTTCCTAGCCACTACGATATTAAACTGATTTTTGGACACAGGCGAGATGCCCGGGGCTTGCTCCGCTCTCGCCACGGGTCGGCCCGGTATTGCAGTCCCTCCGGGAATGGCCCAATATAAGCAAACAATGTACGAATGGTTCTCCAAACAAACAGACAAACAAATCACACACAAGCGCAAATGTACACATGATGTAGATCTAGATGTACAACAATTGTCGCATGTGTAGCTGCCCGCTCGCTTCAGTGTGTTGTTTAGATCTAGTAAGCGCACGTGCGAAAACTGAGTAGAGCTCACTCAGCCTGTTCGCCTCACAATCGAGTGTGCTGTTTCCCCCTTTCAATTTCCATTTTACGCCGGGCAGTCAGAGCAAGCGGAGGTCGAGGAGATCAGAGGGACAAGAAAATGTGCCTGCTCCCTGTCACGATGTCAACGTTTCATTCATTCATTCTGTTTTCCAGTAGCAGCAAACAAACAGTAGCAGCAGCAGTAGCAGCAGTAGCAGCAGTAGCAGGTAAGATCGCGTTATTGTAATAGCCTCCCCTGGGGCCGCTTTTTCTTTATGTGGAAATAGCATTTAGAGTTGTGTCCCTTGTCGTAGCGGTGTTGAGATTTACGTTTCGCCTGCGTTGACTCAAAAAGCACTATTTTGTCCCACCGGGCGTGTCGCAGCAGCAGTTGTAAACTCACATCCTGCTTAAGACGTAAAGGACGTCGTGACAAATTACTTGCTATGATTTGGATAGTGATTGAATTGCGTAACATGGAGATGAAACCAAGATCACTACGAGAACGCAGGCGGTGCAGGATTGCAAATGAAGACACGTAGCAAACCATACTTACCTGGCACGGGAGGCACCATGATCACGACGGCGGTCCTCCCAGGGCGAGGCCTTTCCATTGCACTCCGGTTTGGCTGACCCCTGCGATCACCTCAAATGCGGGTGACTCGAGTGCGTAATTTTTACGTAGGGGGGACTGCGTTCGCGCTATCCCCTGTCATAATAACCATTCAATGAAAGTTCAGGAAAGGAAGTACAGCACACACAAACACACTTGTACAAGCACAACACGCAGAAACAAACACAGCTCACACAGACACACAAACACACAAACACGCAAACACAGCACACAGAAACAATAACAGAACGAGCCCGGTGGCCGTAGGCCAGATTCTAGATCTACTACTACTACTGTTTGTTCGTCGACAGCGTACTTGGGATCATTTCATTTGATCCCTTCTGATCGCCGTTTGATCTCAAGGACGGCGGTCGTTCTTCTAGCAACAGATTTCACACCTATGTGCCATGTCTCGGAGGTCCGCGATCTGAGCTGAGCGCACCCTTTGTTGGGAAATGAAAATTAAGGTAATGTTTCTTGACATTTTTATGCTTATTATCATCATTGTTAATTTTTTTATGCGTTTGTTGACGCACTTTGCAGTACAGTTTCCTTTGTCCCTCCCCCCAACACCTCGCCCGTGTCCATTTAGAGTCATGCCTTGGGTGTAGGTGTTGGTGGCGTGATGAAAGAAACTAGCCTTTCCGTGCCGGCAGCACACGACGCGGCGCACAGAAAATCACACCTCTGTCCGTTACGCAACTGTCCTGATCAGCCCTCCCGCTCCTGCCCTGCGGCGGGGTCATTTAATTTTGATTTTTTTCCCCACCCCTAAGAATAAATACTTTCTGCTTTGAGGATTAGCGGCGTTGCCTTAGGCTCTCTTTCAAAATAAATAGTAATGGATTGAAGAGAAGAAGGCCCTAGATGTAGCCTTGGCCCCAGCCCCAGGAGTAATGGTTTGTTTTGTTTGGGGTTTTTGGTTTTGTTTGTTAGTGGGTTTGTTTGTTTGTTTGTTTAGTTAGTTAGTTAGTTAGTTAGTTAGTTAGTTAGTTAGTTAGTTAGTTAGTTAGTCAGTTAGTCAGTTAGTTAGTCAGTTAGTCAGTTAGTCAGTTAGTCAGTTTGTTTGTTTAGGGTTTTTTTTGTGTTGTTTTTATGTTTTGTTTTGTGTGTTTTTTTTTGGTTTGGTTTGGTTTGGTTTGGTTTGGATTTTTGTTTGTTTGTTTTGGGGGGGGGTTTCTTTTGGAAAAAAATGTTGTTTCAAAAAGATGTATTTTAAAAATAGCACAATAATGATAGAATCTAGTCATGAAAATAATATTGATAATGAGGAGGATAATAATGATGATAGCAGTTTATTTCAAAAACAGTAAAAGGTGAAAACATAAACAGTGAAAGAAATGGAATACGAAGAAAATCAGAAATAAAACTTGTTTATTGTGTTTCTGTACAACAACCAACTTCTCATCGGTTTATCCAGTCTGTTTGGTTTTTTACCGTAAACATGTTTCAATTTGCCTTTATTAGGTCAGCACCACAAGAAAAACGTAACCGAAACAGAAAGAAAAAAAAATTGAAAAAAAAGAAAGAAAAAAAAATAAGAAGACAAAAATAATAATAAATTTAAAAATTTTTAAAACACCACAACAAGAAAAAAGAGGAAAAAAGGCAAGCAAAAAACACAAACAGAAACAACGACAACAGCAAGCAACCAAAGGATAACCAAAAAATCAACAAGAAACAAACAATCGCCACTGTGAGCCACGAGCACGTTTTGGGATAAAAAAGGATGACCGACTCAGCCGACTGCGACTCGTTTGTGGTCGAAGGGAGGCAAACAAATGCCTGGCGAGGAGCAGCGACGACGAGCGCAATAGCGGCCCTTCACTTTTTTTCCACGAGGGTCGCCCCCCTTCCCGTAGACACGCAATAGGTGTGAGAGGGTGAAAATAGTGGCATTTTCCCTCGAAAACGTGAACCACAAAGGGTACGCAGTGAACACCGGCCCTAGGTGCAATGACGCAACCCAGCAAAACGGCTGGTCCAGACTGGGATCGAATTATCCAACGGCCGTGTTACGTGGAGCATGCTAATAGTGCGGGGCTGGTGAGAAAAGCAGTTGCAGCGCGCTGGTGAGGAAACTTCGCCCATTTCTCGGCATCGCTTCTCGGCCTTTTGGCTAAGATCAAAGTGTAGTATCTGTTCTTATCAGCTTAATATCTGATACGTGGCTTCCTAGCCACTACGATATTAAACTGATTTTTGGACACAGGCGAGATGCCCGGGGCTTGCTCCGCTCTCGCCACGGGTCGGCCCGGTATTGCAGTCCCTCCGGGAATGGCCCAATATAAGCAAACAATGTACGAATGGTTCTCCAAACAAACAGACAAACAAATCACACACAAGCGCAAATGTACACATGATGTAGATCTAGATGTACAACAATTGTCGCATGTGTAGCTGCCCGCTCGCTTCAGTGTGTTGTTTAGATCTAGTAAGCGCACGTGCGAAAACTGAGTAGAGCTCACTCAGCCTGTTCGCCTCACAATCGAGTGTGCTGTTTCCCCCTTTCAATTTCCATTTTACGCCGGGCAGTCAGAGCAAGCGGAGGTCGAGGAGATCAGAGGGACAAGAAAATGTGCCTGCTCCCTGTCACGATGTCAACGTTTCATTCATTCATTCTGTTTTCCAGTAGCAGCAAACAAACAGTAGCAGCAGCAGTAGCAGCAGTAGCAGCAGTAGCAGGTAAGATCGCGTTATTGTAATAGCCTCCCCTGGGGCCGCTTTTTCTTTATGTGGAAATAGCATTTAGAGTTGTGTCCCTTGTCGTAGCGGTGTTGAGATTTACGATTTCGCCTGCGTTGACTCAAAAAGCACTATTTTGTCCCACCGGGCGTGTCGCAGCAGCAGTTGTAAACTCACATCCTGCTTAAGACGTAAAGGACGTCGTGACAAATTACTTGCTATGATTTGGATAGTGATTGAATTGCGTAACATGGAGATGAAACCAAGATCACTACGAGAACGCAGGCGGTGCAGGATTGCAAATGAAGACACGTAGCAAACCATACTTACCTGGCACGGGAGGCACCATGATCACGACGGCGGTCCTCCCAGGGCGAGGCCTTTCCATTGCACTCCGGTTTGGCTGACCCCTGCGATCACCTCAAATGCGGGTGACTCGAGTGCGTAATTTTTACGTAGGGGGGACTGCGTTCGCGCTATCCCCTGTCATAATAACCATTCAATGAAAGTTCAGGAAAGGAAGTACAGCACACACAAACACACTTGTACAAGCACAACACGCAGAAACAAACACAGCCCACACAGACACACAAACACACAAACACGCAAACACAGCACACAGAAACAATAACAGAACGAGCCCGGTGGCCGTAGGCCAGATTCTAGATCTACTACTACTACTGTTTGTTCGTCGACAGCGTACTTGGGATCATTTCATTTGATCCCTTCTGATCGCCGTTTGATCTCAAGGACGGCGGTCGTTCTTCTAGCAACAGATTTCACACCTATGTGCCATGTCTCGGAGGTCCGCGATCTGAGCTGAGCGCACCCTTTGTTGGGAAATGAAAATTAAGGTAATGTTTCTTGACATTTTTATGCTTATTATCATCATTGTTAATTTTTTTATGCGTTTGTTGACGCACTTTGCAGTACAGTTTCCTTTGTCCCTCCCCCCAACACCTCGCCCGTGTCCATTTAGAGTCATGCCTTGGGTGTAGGTGTTGGTGGCGTGATGAAAGAAACTAGCCTTTCCGTGCCGGCAGCACACGACGCGGCGCACAGAAAATCACACCTCTGTCCGTTACGCAACTGTCCTGATCAGCCCTCCCGCTCCTGCCCTGCGGCGGGGTCATTTAATTTTGATTTTTTTCCCCACCCCTAAGAATAAATACTTTCTGCTTTGAGGATTAGCGGCGTTGCCTTAGGCTCTCTTTCAAAATAAATAGTAATGGATTGAAGAGAAGAAGGCCCTAGATGTAGCCTTGGCCCCAGCCCCAGGAGTAATGGTTTGTTTTGTTTGGGGTTTTTGGTTTTGTTTGTTAGTGGGTTTGTTTGTTTGTTTGTTTAGTTAGTTAGTTAGTTAGTTAGTTAGTTAGTTAGTTAGTTAGAGTTAGTTAGTTAGTTAGTTAGTTAGTCAGTTAGTCAGTTAGTTAGTCAGTTAGTCAGTTAGTCAGTTAGTCAGTTTGTTTGTTTAGGGTTTTTTTTGTGTTGTTTTTATGTTTTGTTTTGTGTGTTTTTTTTTGGTTTGGTTTGGTTTGGTTTGGATTTTTGTTTGTTTGTTTTGGGGGGGTTTCTTTTGGAAAAAAATGTTGTTTCAAAAAGATGTATTTTAAAAATAGCACAATAATGGTAGAATCTAGTCATGAAAATAATATTGATAATGAGGAGGATAATAATGATGATAGCAGTTTATTTCAAAAACAGTAAAAGGTGAAAACATAAACAGTGAAAGAAATGGAATACGAAGAAAATCAGAAATAAAACTTGTTTATTGTGTTTCTGTACAACAACCAACTTCTCATCGGTTTATCCAGTCTGTTTGGTTTTTTACCGTAAACATGTTTCAATTTGCCTTTATTAGGTCAGCACCACAAGAAAAACGTAACCGAAACAGAAAGAAAAAAAAATTGAAAAAAAAGAAAGAAAAAAAAATAAGAAGACAAAAATAATAATAAATTTAAAAATTTTTAAAACACCACAACAAGAAAAAAGAGGAAAAAAGGCAAGCAAAAAACACAAACAGAAACAACGACAACAGCAAGCAACCAAAGGATAACCAAAAAATCAACAAGAAACAAACAATCGCCACTGTGAGCCACGAGCACGTTTTGGGATAAAAAAGGATGACCGACTCAGCCGACTGCGACTCGTTTGTGGTCGAAGGGAGGCAAACAAATGCCTGGCGAGGAGCAGCGACGACGAGCGCAATAGCGGCCCTTCACTTTTTTTCCACGAGGGTCGCCCCCCTTCCCGTAGACACGCAATAGGTGTGAGAGGGTGAAAATAGTGGCATTTTCCCTCGAAAACGTGAACCACAAAGGGTACGCAGTGAACACCGGCCCTAGGTGCAATGACGCAACCCAGCAAAACGGCTGGTCCAGACTGGGATCGAATTATCCAACGGCCGTGTTACGTGGAGCATGCTAATAGTGCGGGGCTGGTGAGAAAAGCAGTTGCAGCGCGCTGGTGAGGAAACTTCGCCCATTTCTCGGCATCGCTTCTCGGCCTTTTGGCTAAGATCAAAGTGTAGTATCTGTTCTTATCAGCTTAATATCTGATACGTGGCTTCCTAGCCACTACGATATTAAACTGATTTTTGGACACAGGCGAGATGCCCGGGGCTTGCTCCGCTCTCGCCACGGGTCGGCCCGGTATTGCAGTCCCTCCGGGAATGGCCCAATATAAGCAAACAATGTACGAATGGTTCTCCAAACAAACAGACAAACAAATCACACACAAGCGCAAATGTACACATGATGTAGATCTAGATGTACAACAATTGTCGCATGTGTAGCTGCCCGCTCGCTTCAGTGTGTTGTTTAGATCTAGTAAGCGCACGTGCGAAAACTGAGTAGAGCTCACTCAGCCTGTTCGCCTCACAATCGAGTGTGCTGTTTCCCCCTTTCAATTTCCATTTTACGCCGGGCAGTCAGAGCAAGCGGAGGTCGAGGAGATCAGAGGGACAAGAAAATGTGCCTGCTCCCTGTCACGATGTCAACGTTTCATTCATTCATTCTGTTTTCCAGTAGCAGCAAACAAACAGTAGCAGCAGCAGTAGCAGCAGTAGCAGCAGTAGCAGGTAAGATCGCGTTATTGTAATAGCCTCCCCTGGGGCCGCTTTTTCTTTATGTGGAAATAGCATTTAGAGTTGTGTCCCTTGTCGTAGCGGTGTTGAGATTTACGTTTCGCCTGCGTTGACTCAAAAAGCACTATTTTGTCCCACCGGGCGTGTCGCAGCAGCAGTTGTAAACTCACATCCTGCTTAAGACGTAAAGGACGTCGTGACAAATTACTTGCTATGATTTGGATAGTGATTGAATTGCGTAACATGGAGATGAAACCAAGATCACTACGAGAACGCAGGCGGTGCAGGATTGCAAATGAAGACACGTAGCAAACCATACTTACCTGGCACGGGAGGCACCATGATCACGACGGCGGTCCTCCCAGGGCGAGGCCTTTCCATTGCACTCCGGTTTGGCTGACCCCTGCGATCACCTCAAATGCGGGTGACTCGAGTGCGTAATTTTTACGTAGGGGGGACTGCGTTCGCGCTATCCCCTGTCATAATAACCATTCAATGAAAGTTCAGGAAAGGAAGTACAGCACACACAAACACACTTGTACAAGCACAACACGCAGAAACAAACACAGCTCACACAGACACACAAACACACAAACACGCAAACACAGCACACAGAAACAATAACAGAACGAGCCCGGTGGCCGTAGGCCAGATTCTAGATCTACTACTACTACTGTTTGTTCGTCGACAGCGTACTTGGGATCATTTCATTTGATCCCTTCTGATCGCCGTTTGATCTCAAGGACGGCGGTCGTTCTTCTAGCAACAGATTTCACACCTATGTGCCATGTCTCGGAGGTCCGCGATCTGAGCTGAGCGCACCCTTTGTTGGGAAATGAAAATTAAGGTAATGTTTCTTGACATTTTTATGCTTATTATCATCATTGTTAATTTTTTTATGCGTTTGTTGACGCACTTTGCAGTACAGTTTCCTTTGTCCCTCCCCCCAACACCTCGCCCGTGTCCATTTAGAGTCATGCCTTGGGTGTAGGTGTTGGTGGCGTGATGAAAGAAACTAGCCTTTCCGTGCCGGCAGCACACGACGCGGCGCACAGAAAATCACACCTCTGTCCGTTACGCAACTGTCCTGATCAGCCCTCCCGCTCCTGCCCTGCGGCGGGGTCATTTAATTTTGATTTTTTTCCCCACCCCTAAGAATAAATACTTTCTGCTTTGAGGATTAGCGGCGTTGCCTTAGGCTCTCTTTCAAAATAAATAGTAATGGATTGAAGAGAAGAAGGCCCTAGATGTAGCCTTGGCCCCAGCCCCAGGAGTAATGGTTTGTTTTGTTTGGGGTTTTTGGTTTTGTTTGTTAGTGGGTTTGTTTGTTTGTTTGTTTAGTTAGTTAGTTAGTTAGTTAGTTAGTTAGTTAGTTAGTTAGAGTTAGTTAGTTAGTTAGTTAGTTAGTCAGTTAGTCAGTTAGTTAGTCAGTTAGTCAGTTAGTCAGTTAGTCAGTTTGTTTGTTTAGGGTTTTTTTTGTGTTGTTTTTATGTTTTGTTTTGTGTGTTTTTTTTTGGTTTGGTTTGGTTTGGTTTGGATTTTTGTTTGTTTGGTTTGGGGGGGTTTCTTTTGGAAAAAAATGTTGTTTCAAAAAGATGTATTTTAAAAATAGCACAATAATGGTAGAATCTAGTCATGAAAATAATATTGATAATGAGGAGGATAATAATGATGATAGCAGTTTATTTCAAAAACAGTAAAAGGTGAAAACATAAACAGTGAAAGAAATGGAATACGAAGAAAATCAGAAATAAAACTTGTTTATTGTGTTTCTGTACAACAACCAACTTCTCATCGGTTTATCCAGTCTGTTTGGTTTTTTACCGTAAACATGTTTCAATTTGCCTTTATTAGGTCAGCACCACAAGAAAAACGTAACCGAAACAGAAAGAAAAAAAAATTGAAAAAAAAGAAAGAAAAAAAAATAAGAAGACAAAAATAATAATAAATTAAAAAATTTTTAAAACACCACAACAAGAAAAAAGAGGAAAAAAGGCAAGCAAAAAACACAAACAGAAACAACGACAACAGCAAGCAACCAAAGGATAACCAAAAAATCAACAAGAAACAAACAATCGCCACTGTGAGCCACGAGCACGTTTTGGGATAAAAAAGGATGACCGACTCAGCCGACTGCGACTCGTTTGTGGTCGAAGGGAGGCAAACAAATGCCTGGCGAGGAGCAGCGACGACGAGCGCAATAGCGGCCCTTCACTTTTTTTCCACGAGGGTCGCCCCCCTTCCCGTAGACACGCAATAGGTGTGAGAGGGTGAAAATAGTGGCATTTTCCCTCGAAAACGTGAACCACAAAGGGTACGCAGTGAACACCGGCCCTAGGTGCAATGACGCAACCCAGCAAAACGGCTGGTCCAGACTGGGATCGAATTATCCAACGGCCGTGTTACGTGGAGCATGCTAATAGTGCGGGGCTGGTGAGAAAAGCAGTTGCAGCGCGCTGGTGAGGAAACTTCGCCCATTTCTCGGCATCGCTTCTCGGCCTTTTGGCTAAGATCAAAGTGTAGTATCTGTTCTTATCAGCTTAATATCTGATACGTGGCTTCCTAGCCACTACGATATTAAACTGATTTTTGGACACAGGCGAGATGCCCGGGGCTTGCTCCGCTCTCGCCACGGGTCGGCCCGGTATTGCAGTCCCTCCGGGAATGGCCCAATATAAGCAAACAATGTACGAATGGTTCTCCAAACAAACAGACAAACAAATCACACACAAGCGCAAATGTACACATGATGTAGATCTAGATGTACAACAATTGTCGCATGTGTAGCTGCCCGCTCGCTTCAGTGTGTTGTTTAGATCTAGTAAGCGCACGTGCGAAAACTGAGTAGAGCTCACTCAGCCTGTTCGCCTCACAATCGAGTGTGCTGTTTCCCCCTTTCAATTTCCATTTTACGCCGGGCAGTCAGAGCAAGCGGAGGTCGAGGAGATCAGAGGGACAAGAAAATGTGCCTGCTCCCTGTCACGATGTCAACGTTTCATTCATTCATTCTGTTTTCCAGTAGCAGCAAACAAACAGTAGCAGCAGCAGTAGCAGCAGTAGCAGCAGTAGCAGGTAAGATCGCGTTATTGTAATAGCCTCCCCTGGGGCCGCTTTTTCTTTATGTGGAAATAGCATTTAGAGTTGTGTCCCTTGTCGTAGCGGTGTTGAGATTTACGATTTCGCCTGCGTTGACTCAAAAAGCACTATTTTGTCCCACCGGGCGTGTCGCAGCAGCAGTTGTAAACTCACAT